AGGGGCCCTAAGACGGCACTGAAGAACCCCATCGGGGCTTTTTCAAAGGCAGAGGAGGGCGCAAAAAGGAGCCTCAGTGAGCCCCTGGTCTAACTCCACCTGGCGGAATTGGAAGCGATATCGCCCGGCGCCTTCATGGAGCCGCTCGGAGCTTCCAAGACGGCTCCAGAAGGCCCCAGGAGGGCCCCAAGAGGATCGAACGACGATTCCTGGAAGTGCACCAGTGAGACCCTTGTTGACCTCCGCCTGGCGGAGTTGGAAGCGACAATTTCCAGTGCCCTCTTGGGGCCTCTGGGGGGCCCCTCAGAAAGCTTTGGGGAGCACAGTGAAGGCCTTCGCAGGGCCGCGTGAGAGCCGTACCAGGGCCGCATGTGTGCGCGGATGGGGGCGACGAGTGCTGACGCTGACGAATATGAGAATGATGAGGGCGATCAAGGCTGGCCCGAAACAAATCCTGGCGCCATTGCAGGCCGCCGATTATCGGCCACGCCGCCAGGACGACGCCAAGCAACAAAACGACACCAACCAACAAACCGACACCAACCAACAAACCAACAAATCGACACCGGCCAACAAAAGGACACCAAGCAACAAAACGACACCAAGCAACAAAACGACACCAACCAACGAAACGACACCAACCAACAAAACGGCACGAATCAACAAAACGGCACTGACCAACCAAACGACAAATCACTTCACGACACCAATGAACAACGCGAAATCCACCGACCGCCAACCAAGCATAAAATCAACCGACACAACGAAACCAACCCATAGAGCCAGACCAACCACTGGATTCGTGAGTCGGGGTAGTCATGGAAGTGAGCCGCTGCAGCCCGCGGAAGCCATTAACAGTGACCAGAGCACCGCAATGCAGCAACGTCCCCGGGCGGCGGCGGGAGTCTTGGATCTCCCGCGGGACTGGAGCGTAGCGAGTTCGTCCTGGGTCCGGTTTAGTGAAGTGAAGAATTTCGGGGTGCTTGCATGGCAAAAACCTTCACTTCACTAATCTGGGGCCCCTGGAGCCCCAGGGCGTTTCAGGTCCCCTCGCTGTCTGGGTAGTCCAGGGGGCGCAGTGGCGGCTTACCAGAGGCCCTGTTCCCTAGCCTCACTTGCTTTCACCCGTGGTGCTCGACGGCCGTCTCGGAGCTGTCTTGTGGCGGTCTGGGGCAATCCCGAAGCCTCTTGGAGCCATCCCAAGGCCCCAAGGCGCCACCAATGGGGGCCCCAAGAGAGCTCCCAGAGGGCCCCGAAAGGCCTACAACAGATTGCACGTTCGCGCGAATTCTTTGTACCACTTTGGGGGGTCCCTCTTGGGGCCCTCGGGGAACGTTCTTGGGGCCCTCCGAGGGCCCACTGGGGCCCCGGGAAGGCCCCAACAACGCTCCCAGAGGGCCCCAAGAATGCTCCAAGAGGGCCCCAAGAGGACCCCCACAAGTGACAAAAACTATTTGCATGAGGGTGCAACTTACTCGGCGCCTCTTGGGGCGCTCTTGGGCTGGGCGACGGCATGTGGACCCTGTCGTTTGGGCCATCGGGGGTGCTCCCCAATGGGGCCACGAAGCTTGTGAGCGTATGACGGAATGGGCTGGGCGGCGGCCTGTGGGCCCTGCCTGTGGGGCCGTCGGTGTAGCTCCCCGTGGGGCCACGAAGCGTGTGAAATGTATGCCGAAATATGCTGGGCGGCGGCCTGGGAAACCTGCCGCTGGGACCTTTTTTTGGTGGAGCTGCCTACAGGGGCACGAAATGTTTGAGGGTGTCATCAATGTGGCCTGGGCGACGGCATGTGGACTTTGCCGCCGGGACCTCCGATGAGCTCCCCATGGGGACACGAAGCGTCTGAGGGGCGTGCCGACATTGGCTGGGCGGCGCACTAAGGACCCTGCCGATGGGGCCTTCGGTGGAGCACCTCATAAGGCCACGAGACTTGCGGGGGATGTGGCGAAGCAGAAACGCGGGGGAACAAGGGGGTGTTTTGATGATGTTGGTGAGGATGGTGGTGGTATTGATGATGGAGACGGCGAGAATGCTGATGATGCTGATGATGATGGTGATGGCGACGATGACGCTGGCACTACGAACGAAATGATCGAACTCTTCCTGCGAAGTTACCCGCGGGGTGGATCAGCCAGGGATGGGGGTCGAAACCGCCCCAGCGCAAAGCAAATGTACAATCCTGAGAAACCCAAGCCCACATCAACCGATCCGCAACAAGCACGCAAGCCTTTGACGACCCCAACGCACGTGACATCGCATAACGCGACGCGCCATCGAAAACGTTCGACGCGCGGCCTGGGAATGACATCGGGCTTCATGGAACGTCGAATGGAAAACATGAAAAACCGCCCTGTGGGCTCCGAGACCCAAAATTACTGATGTGAAGGATTTCGGCTCGTCGACGTAATAATGTTGCAACCCGTTTGTCGCAGTGGTGGTAATAATTCAATACTGCAGTAGCAGTAATATAGTGCAGAACAAATATTGGATGATGCAAGGGTACCAGTAGTAGTCCCCATACTTGGACAGCACTGCGATACTGCTGAGTAGCGTCGTGGTAGTAGCAGCCCGCGCAATAATGGAGCAATGCTGCATTAGCACGGTGACAAGATCAGCGCTCTCCACTACTGAAGTGGCAGCAGTACGAAAATAAAGTGTTGCAATAGCCGTGTAGCACCGTAATCATACTACCACGTAAGTGCCACATGATAGCACTGTCTTAGTGGGCCCTGGAAAAGACAGGGCCATTTTTGTTACTGGTTCCGTTCTGCTGTTTTTTTTGCCAGTTCCGACGCCGTTGTTTTACCAGTTCCATCGCCGTTTTTTGACCGGTTCCAGCTCCAACTCCAATCCTGGAGTTGTTTTTCCGTTGTTTCCGGTCGCCATTGTTTCACCGTTGCAATGTACAGGGGACATATTTTGGGAAACGGTGAAAAAACTGCCATGCCGTTTCCGGGGCCCACAAAGGGCACTGCTGCAGCACTCTAATATTGCAGTTAGGTGAGAGGCCGAATGATAATAGCAATACCCCAGTACTGTAGGAGTACTGCAGAGTACTGCAGCATTACCCGTATATTGTACGAGGAGCACTGTAATGCTGGCTGCAGTAGACGTAGTACTGTAGAGACACCACCATTGTAGGGGTACTGCCGAGTCTCTAGTGCTGTTTGTGGTAGTATAAGTAATGTATTACTCTAGGTATGTAGCGGTACTGTAATACTACAGCCCTGTAGAAGGCACGCTGCAGTCGTCGCACGATAACCTTGTAGTACGACTGCAGTGGTACTGAAATGCAGGAAGTCAGGGGCGCGCAGGCCAGAGGGGTAAATTGGAAGGAAGGAGTGGAGGTGCTTGGCAGGCGTATACATATATATATATATATATATATATATATTGTATATATATAATATGTTCATTAATTTGTGATTCTAAACATGTATATGTATGTAGATGTGTTCTATAACGAAAAATGCGCGCAGCCGCAAACAAGACATCCACAACCCACCACGAAAACGAAAGACGACCGGGAAATTCGACTCTTTCACCCCACGGCACAGCATGGCACCGCACGGTCCGCCCCGCGATTGCAACGAGGCGCCAGCGCTACAGGCGCCTAGAGCATAACACAGCCCCCTTCCGCGTGACCCGCGGTGCGCTGGCACCCTTTCCGTGTGCCGTTTGGTGTGCCGCGCACGACTATCGAGGAGTCCCGCGCAACTCTTCCAGAGGCCAGAAGTCGTAGATGCCAAGAAGGCGGGTACCTGAACTGCCGCCACAATCCCTCGTGTATCAGGAGCTGCCCGCGAAACCGACACGAACTCTTGAAAGGCGCCCCCGAAACCCCAGGAGGCCTCCAAGAGGGCCCCAAAAGGCCCCGAACAGGCCCCAGAGAGGGCCCGAAGAGGCCCTGGAGAGGCCCCCAAGAGGCCCCGAAGAGAACCCCATGAGGAATCCAAAGAGACCCCAAAACGCATACAAGGACTTTAAACCTCAACCGACAACCCAGGCACGGTGGCGGGATGGGCAGAGGAGAACAGAAGAAAGCTGGCCAACGACATAACAAGGTGTTGCATGGACAACCATAGAACACCATGGCAAAGCACCGCACACACAAGCGCACCTTGGCATACCACAGCGACGACAGTCATAGCATCTCATCACACAGCGCACCATCGCACAGCATGACTCAACAATAATCGCCAACACACACATATATATATATATATAAATATTAGGTGCACATATGGGTGTGTATATATATATACACACACATATATACATATATATACATACCTACGTAATGTATGTATGAATGTATATCATATTTACACGCATGCATACACATGCATACATGCATATACATAGTATGTGCACATACATACATATATACATGCACCGTACATACACCCACATACATACATATGAAACATCCATCTGTAAATACATATAACACAGCTATGTAGTACATACATAACACCTACACACAATGTATACAAATGCATACACATGTATATAAACAATACACAATGCTTACTTGCACACAAACATATACAACGCATACACATATATAATACAGACAAACAAACATACATACCATGTGAATCTGTGCATACATAATACATACATATATGCATGCATACTATAAATATATGCATACGTACATACATACACACATACATACACATGCTACATTTATATATATATATATATACACCAAAACACCGCAACAATTTCGCGTCAGAAGCACACGCCTGGATTATAAGAAACGGAAATCGCCACGGCTACCACATGCAGCGTTACTTTCCGCGAATAGATGAGCCCCTAGGGGAAAACCCAATTCGGGAATGTGTTCCACGTGGGTGGCCCATCGCCGCCAGCCCACTT